GGAACCGAACTCACGACCTCACGCTTGCCAGGCAGGCGCTTTTTGCCGCTGAGCTAAATCCCCAGCCCCTGCAAACAAATTTTGCAACCTCACCACCACGCCCATCTCTTAACACAGCTTTTGGACATGACAGGAAGAGTCAGTCATACCTGCATTTTCATTAGCTGTATATATTTTTTCTGCTCTAAATTTTCGCTTGGTAAATCAGTGTTCCCTACTTTACACGGCATCCTGAGATTTTCCCAAGATGCAGTATCTGCATTTTTATTTTATAGGAAAGAAACTTCTATCTTTCAGCACATTGATTACTCTTAAAAATTTTACATTTTCCTTATTTGCATTAATTTCTAAAATCTTATTTTAAATTCTAGCTCAGAATTCATTAGAAACATAACTTTAGTAAAAATGATCAAATAAGAAAATCTATGATCAAATAATATTCATCCATGCAATTGTTAAGTGCAGTAAAATAAGTGATCCCTGCCAGTAAGAATGACAAGTAACAATCCTTCTGGAAGGATTTGTGGCAGTATATTTTCTTCACCTTAAGTATGATCAGATCCTTAATATTAGTCTTGGTGGGACTCACTTAAAGGAAATAATAGAAAACGCAAGTAATATTATTAATGTTAGCAACAATAAAAAGGAAATAGTTTATCCAACAATAAGAAAATTATTACATAAATTATAGTACATGCATATTATGAACCATTATGCAGCTATAGAAATTGTTTCCAAGATTTTTAATGACACAAGAAATTGTTCTTGATATAATTAAGTGAAAAAAAGATACACAACTTTACTATGTTCTTATCCTATATGTAGAATAATTTTACATGTGTGAAAAATACATCAAAATCCAGATGGTGGGACTATCAGTAATTTTTCTAAGCTCCTTTATTTGTACTTTTCCAGATCTATTTGAATTTTTGAGACAATGTCTTGCTATGTAGTTCAGGTTGGCCTTAAACTCACTGTGTAGCCCAGGCTGGCCTTGAACTCATGGTGATCCTCCTGCCTCACCCTCCCAAGTGCTGGGATTATATGCATAAGCTACTATGCCTGGCTCCAGATTTTTAAAATGACTATTAATGTTCAGTGGAAACAAACTTCACTAGTCCTATCATGTGCACAAATTAATATTGATTTTTAACAAAGAAAGTCTGTTTGCCAGCTCATCAAAATTAATACTAATTTTCAACAAGTAAAATCTATTTGCTGGATTATAAATTTCATTACAGATTTTTTTTTTTTGTCTTTTTTGAGACAGGGTCTTGCTATGCAGTTCAGGCTGGCCTTGAGCTCACTTTGTAGCCCATGCTAGTCTTGAACTCATAACGATCCTCCTGCCTCAGCCTCCTGAGTGCTGGGATTATAGGCATGTGCCACCACGCCCGGCGTAAGTCGTTTTTTTTTTTTGTCAAATTTAAACATTACTATATCTTTTTATTTTTTATTTTTTTGGTACGGGGATCCAACTCAGGACCTTACCCTTGCCAGGCAGGTACTTGTGCCACTGAGCTATATCCCGGCCCATCATACAGATTAAATGGTAGAAAAAACCCAAGTGCTTCATTCTCCTATAACCAGTACTCACTAGCTCAATGTTAGGGATTTTGCGGGGGCATGCTGGAGAACTTACCAAAGGCCTCAGGTGTGCAGAGCACAGACTCTACAACTGAACTGCATCCCCGGTCCTCTCAGTGTTTATTAAAAGTGACCTAAAGTACATTATTTAAATAAAAACTCACAGATAGTAACTTCATCTTTCTTTGTGTAGGAGGAAGATCCCTCACTACTTCTTATTTTTCTGTAGTAAATGACACTGCACAGACCAAAAGTTGGGAGAAGTTTACATCTGAAAATACCTGTACCAGGTACGAAGATGAACGAGATGAGGTCTAAAACCATGTGCGTGGGGATTCAGGCTTGCCTGAAGACTAACTGAATGCGAATAAATTTCCCCAGAATTAGCAGGGGAAAAAATTGCGCATGTTCCTGCAATCCTGTCAGTCAGCATCCAGTCACAATCTTTGCAAAGGTGGTGAATTGTTTTGAGGAAGTAACACTGGCATGAAGAGAAGGCAGAACAGTAACAGCCAATAATCTGAGCACCTTCTAGCAAACTGGAGTTTAAGTAATGAGTATGTTTAAGATTTTTATAGGCCAGGTGTGGTGGCGCACACCTGTAATCCCAGCACTTGGGAGGCTGAGGCAGGAAAATTATCATGAGTTCAAGGCCATTATGAACTACATATCGAGACCCTGTGTCAAAAAAAAAAAAAAAAAAGCAAGACACCCTCTATAAACACTGCCATTTTATAATTATTTGAAAGTGCCCTGTCTTGAAGTAAAATTTGCAATCAGTAATTTTTACTTCCTTACTGTACTTTTACAGCTAACTTTTTTTTTTGGTGCCGGGAATCAAACTCAGGACCTTGCATTTGCCTGCTAGGTACTTGTGCCACTGAGCTATATTCCTGGCCCCTACAGTTAACTTTTTTTTTTTTTTTCCGGTACCAGAAATCAAACTCACGACCTCATGCTTGCTAGGCAGGCGCTGTGCCACTGAGGTAAATCCCCAGCCCCCCTAAGTTGACTTTTAAAATAATTATTAATAGCCAGGCATGGTGGTGCATGCCTGTAATCCCAGAACTCGGGAGGCTGAGGCAGGAGAATTGTTGCGAGTTTGAGACCAGCCTGGGCTACAAAGTGAGCTCAAGGACAGCCTGAACTGCATAGCGAGACCCTGTCTCAAAAAAAAAAAAAAAAATTATTAATATTCAGTTAAAGTCCATTAGTCCAATTATATAAGAATACTGATTTTCAACCAGTGAAATCTTTGCCAGATTATAAATACTAGGATTTTCAAAATATTTTTGTCACTGTAGAAAAAAAAAAAATCAGCATTTGTTTCTGAGGTAAAAGCTCAGTCTTTCTTTTTTTTTCCTTCTGGTACTGGGAATTGAACTCACAACCTTGTGCTTGCCAGGCAGGTGCTGTACCGCTGAGCTAAATCCCCAGCCTCCAAAAACTCAGTCTTAAGTTACAGTTGCACTGTAATATGTAGCAAGCTGGACAGGACCTGCTTCATCCATGGTAGAAGGAGAGGGGACCTGAGCCTGGAAGAGGCCTTTTCAGCAAAGGAAGTGAATCTGTGACAGTGACAGACAAACTGCCTACTTCAGCTGCAAGTGCCAACCTTGAGGACAGGCCCGTGGAGTAGTGTGGAAGGACCCGGAACGAGCGCAGTGGTCCTGTCCATGCAGACTCAGACTTAACCCGCCATTATTATCAGTATTTACAGAATTCCTCAACTGAAAACAAACGAATTAGACTAGCAAAGAAGTGATTGATTTCTCTGAATAGTAAATTGTTTATTTTGAGAACAAAACCCTCTGAAAGAACTAAACACTATATTAGTGGATTTTTATATGGAATTGTTTCTTTTTGTGGTGAGGAAACCCAATTTGTTGTCATCCGTATTTGCCATGATATGTAGTATTTTTCCAGTCATTCTTCTACATGGAAAGAAATCAAGATTTGGTTGTAAGAATTTTAGCTAATTTTCCTGGTGCACTTCTTTTCTGTTTTTTGTTTTTTGTTTGTTTTTTGTTTTTTGGTACTGAGAAATGGAACTCAGGACCTTGCGCTTGCCAGGCAGGCACTTATGCCACTGAGCTGTATCCGCAGCCCCCGGGTGCACTTCTAAAGTTATGCAGAAAGACCATAATTCCCTGTATTATTTATTCAGTTATTGTAGTATTAAAGATGGAAAGACTGTTTTTTAAAAGAGCCAGGTTGAAAATAATATAGAATAAATAAAAGTAATATACAGACAATTTAACTTCTGAACATAGAGGAGGACTTTTTATTAGGTAAAAGCAATGGATTTTAAAATGTAACAAAAGTACTTTATGTAATCCAAAAATTCCATTTTATACTAATATACAGAAAATAACCACATCATTGAATGCATTTATACCATTTATAATTATCATAGTTCATTACACTTGCAGTTAGTACAGTCAAAATTTAAGCCATTTTTCTTTAGAAATCTCATTCAATAAAAAATTTCATCAATCAAAATTACTTTCTGAGTCATTTCTATATTTATCAGGCACATTTAATTACTGGTAATATTCTTTTTCTTTTTTTGGTACTGGGAATTGAATTTATGACCTCACACTTGCCAGGCAGGTGTTATGCTGCTGAGCTGCTTCCCTGGCCTGGTAATATTCTTTTATCTTTTGTTTCCTACTTATTTTTAGAAGCTTGTAGTTCTAAATGCATCTTCATGTTCCCAAACAACTTTACCTAGTGTTTTCTTGATGCTGTTTGAGACTTTGTTAAACTTGTTTCTCTTAAAGCGGTTTCATATATATTTGCACTCGTCAGTGAATCTCTCTCCTCCTTCCCCCCATATCTGTTATTCCACTGTAATGAACTATTTGATTTTCATCTAGCCTAATTATTAGAGTGAATATTCAAGTTATTATCCAACCTTACAGCCAGGGTTTTTAAGTGACTTCACTTCTGCAATATACTATGAAGTATACTTTATGTTAGGTCTCTTTGTGAAACTCCTTAGTAAAAACATTTTTAGAGATAAGAGTAAAAATAAACCATTTCTAAAAATATATAACATCTTGATAGTGCACAAAAAAACAAAATAATAATTTGGTACATAGTTAACCAAAGATAAAAGTACAGTACAAGTATATTCACAATAAGGAAATAATATGGTCATAAGTCATATCCTTAAGAAATATGTGCACGCATGTGCATGTATGCACATAGCAAAGCATTTGTAACCAGGTTAAGACTCACAAAATATTCAGTTTCTCCATGAGAGGTTTTTAAAACATGCTAACCATCAAAGTTTACTTAGTCTAATTGTATTGTGAAATTTGAAGCTGATAGCATGGCATTATACATTATATTGAGAATAAATGCTGAACAAAATTAATTCTGCCTACTAGGTTAAGGTCAGAAGAAAATAATGTCTGTGATTTGTGAAAACCTACCACTAATAAAATAATACTTTTGTGCTTTTCCTTCAGGTTAAGTCTTTTTTTACAATTTTTTTTTTTTTTTTTGTACCAGAAATTGAACTCAGGACCTTCTGCTTGCCCGGCAGGCACTTGTACCGCTGAGCTATATCCCCGGTCCGAAGTTAACAATCTTAAAAAGGAGCTTCATTAATATGAAGTCAAACATGTGACTGGTATTATTCACAAACAAGAAAGAGGATAGGCGTTACATTACCGTGAAGAATAACTAGATTATCTTGTTAAAATATTGGCCTTAAATTTTTTTTCTTGGTACCATTCTTTTTAATGAGACTCTAACCTACAGATTTTAGGGTGTAACTCTTTAAATTACCTAATTTTGTAATATATAAGCTGTAATTCTGGTTATTTTAAGCTTAGAATTATACATGTTTATAAAGACATGTGATTATCTCTTTATATTTACAGTAGCCTAGCAAGCCCTTTTATTTTAGGACTCTTGAAGATAATTAGCATATAAAGTTTCAGATAGCTTTAACCACTGATTTCATGTGAGTTTTACAGTTACATTTCTCTAGAAGGTTTTCCACAAATGCTAGAAGAGTCACCATGAATCAATTTTGTTACGACACGGTGATTCCAAAGTGATCTGTATCGAGCTTTCTTGGATCTTTGCAACTGGAACTTTTGGGGTTGATGAAGTTTGTCAGGAAGACAGAAAAGATGGTGTCACTTCAGATCTGCTATTCCTGGGTTTGCACTTAAAGATTATCTGTTGAAGAGTGATTCTTCCCCATGTCCTCTCCAAATTCAGATCTGTCACTTCTCCAGAGGTTTAGAAGGCCCTATTTCACCACTGCCACACAGAAAAAAACAAAACTCAAGAAAAATAGTATTACACATTTATTTACCCCTCTATGAGATTAAACATCATTCTTAGGTCAGAATCCCTTAGCCTTTGGCACCAGGCAAGACAAAGAACAGAGAAGGGAAGCAAAAGAAAAGCATCTAGAATTTAAATGTAATTACTTCTGAGATGTAACTCATTGTACCTTCCAAACAGAATGTATTCTTATCACCAGAATAATTCTCTAGCTATAGGGACAACTTCTCTTTTTCACTCTTGCATGGTCTGAACTAGAATGGTCGGGCACAGAAATATGCAACATAAAAAAGACAAGTCAGAGGTACAGAGTAGGGGACAAGAGGTTAACACATTTCCCCCTTCAAATAAAATAGTTCTACAATTGAATGGCAAATTTCTGACTGAAACAGATGTAACAAATGTAAAAGTTCTTGTAATTTCAGTCTTCAGCCGCTAAGCTAATGCTTCCTTCAGATATTAAGTGCTGCATTCTCTGCAAATGAAAACGAGAGGCATTTTTCCTCCAATTCCTAGGATGATAGTTGTCATAACCCGCCTGAGAGAGCCAGAGATTCTGTCAGAACCATATTCGCTGCAGCAATGCTTTGACATAATGATCCTTATTTTTAAAAAGAATACTTTCGTAAATATTTTTCTCCTATCAGGGAACATAAGCATTTGAAAGACGATGTGACTTTGATAATCTATGCGATTAGAATTCTTTATCAAAAACTGAACTTTTCTGGTTCGATCAATTTAAGTAGAATAAAAATGTAACCCTAAGTAAAGTTTACGTGGCGGTTTTATGGAATGTATACTTAACTGTTTCTCAAATAGGTAAGTATTGAGTATTATGCAAATTGTCTCATAAAATTATTAACATTCCTGGCTTTGAAGTGAAATGCATTCAACATTTTTATCATCCTTGGTCTGTAGGCTTTCCCATGATTTCTTAGAATGATGGACTAGTACACTGATACATTTGATTCGGAACCAAGTATGGAGCTGTAATCTATACATCATCTTTTCCATTTCTTTGGTCAGCAAATTTAGAATGCGAATTTTTCTTTCTTTTGGATAATGAGAAATTATAATTGCTCCTTTAACCCCTAGTGATTTATGTGGATTTTGATAGGAAAAAGAGAACAATTCTGTCACAACTGATTGACTTTAATATTTGTTCACTTGACCATAAGGGAACAACTTAAATAGGATTTAAACGTAATGCTAAATTTAATTGTGATTAAAATGTATAAGTAGTGTCTTTTTTTAAAGTAGTGTCATTTGGCGAGTTTATGTTTAAGTTGTCATGTAGAGATAGAAACATTCTAAACCCTTGCCTTTTTGCTGCTTGCCAGATGTAAACCTCTGCGTACATTCACCTGGTTTCGGTCAGGATATACTTAATGTTACCAAGTAATGTGTCCTTGACTTTGACAGCAGTGAAAAGTGGCCCATTTAAATAATTATACAGACATTGTTCACAGACTCTTATCCACTTAATTCTTCTATTTTCACTTGGAAAACATTTGACAGATGCCAGCCAAATCATGAAAGTAGCAGGCCTAGCATAAGCACCTATTGTACAGAAATCAAGAAACGAATGCAAAATTAAAATCAGGTCAGGCATGTAGTGACATCTCTCATCCCAGCTACTTGGGAGGGAGGGTGAGGCAGAAAGTTCCCAAGTTTGAAAGCAGCTTGGGCAACTTAGGGAGACTCTGTCTGAAGATAAAAAAGGCTGGTGATGTAGCTCAGTGGTAGAGCACTTGCCTAGCATGGGCAAGGCCTTAGGTACAATTTCCAGAACAAAAAAAAAGAGAGAAAAGAGCTAAAATCGTATTAGATTAGAAAGGACTGTTTCCTAACGCCAGTAGGTAACTTCTTTTTAAGTTTGTTGCTAGGTTAGTTATGTAGCTGTCATTTCCTGAAATTCTCTTTCTTTAGAGGACGGCTGTGTAAGTTATCCTAAAAACAATTTTCATAAACTATTGCTAGAAAAATCAACCTTTTAAAAGCAAATTTAGATTCCTTTATGCAACTTAAAACAATCACAATATAGTTATGGCAGGGGTGTTTTATTGGCCAAAGAAATGAATTTCTTATCCACATTATCCGTTAAGGCAAAAACTGGTCTTTCATTTTGCTTTGTCTTGAGAATATTTATTCTCAAATCATCAGAGTTTTTCAATTTATCAGTCTCATAACCAAAAAAAGGAAATGGAGGTTGACAGGAGAGATTAAAACACAAAGGACTGGAATAGGAAAAGTAAAGAGAAGTCACAGACATAGAAATATGGAAGTTGAAGTCAAAGAAAATTTTAATTGAGCACCTACTATGAACCTGAAAAATGGATGACAATACCATTAAATATTTTAAATTTGAAATGCACGAAAATAAAAATCTTTATCAGCATTTAATATTTCTAAAACATCATTCTGAATGACTTATTCAAATAGTTTTGTTATCCAGTCACATTCTCACATTACTCAAAATGCTCATTAGGTACCCACTATTACCTTACCAGGCACTGCGGGTAACAGACGAACAGACAGCATCGTTTCACCGGACCTTTTAGCGCGTGTTCCTACACCGAAAAGACCCTCCTTTGGAGGTGGAACATGCAGCTTAGTGATTACGCACAGGGATGTGGGCTAAGTCAGCGGCCTAGGTTCAAATTCCAGGTCTAACAGAGTTTCTGTATGAGTTTAGGAAAATCACTCAAACCCTCTAAATCTCAGTCCCCCATCAGGTATTATACTTACCTCAAAGGCTGTGAGGATTAATGACAACGATGTATGTAAGGCACTTGAATATCCACTTGAAGTGGATACCGGGACTGCTAAGTGAGAGACCTATACGGATGGACCTTGGGTTTCAATCTTGGATGTAGCTTCCAATTCTTAACACATTCCTGGAATCCACCCTCTCACTCCCAATTTACTGCACCTTAAGTAGTAAGGATACAGGGAGAATTCTACAAGGTCTTGTTCCGCTTTTCGGTACCCTGTAATCTGACAAATTCTTGATGCTAGGGGGCCGGCAGCACAACGGCATTTTATCTCTGGGAAGTATTTCTTACAAAGGAGAAACGGGTAGTGAGGAAAGTTGAGGAACTGACTGAAGTAGATTAATGGCCAAAAGAAGGTTTTAAATTTTAATTCTTGCTAAACCCACTTAAAATTAGATATATCATATTTTATTCTCAACTAAGGGTACACATATTTTTTAAAATTTTGGTACTGGTTTAGCTTTTTGTTAACAATGACAAGTTTTATACTTAAATATTACAATGTTACATTGGTTCTTTAGATTTTCCAGAGATCTATTAAATATCTAAGTTTCTAGGAATGAATATTGTTTAACCAGAAGGTTGCCAACCACCACCAGCCTCTCTTCCCACTTTTTGAAAAGTGATTAAGTATCTAGGCATAGTCCTAGCATGTTCATAACCATTGTCCCATTAGGCATGCTTAATTATTTTAATCTAATCAAATTATTTTAATTCCTATTCGTCTCACCGCTAACTTTCAAGCTATTTATTTGTCTTTTTGAGACAGGGTCTCACTATGCAGTTCAGGCCGGCCTTCAGCTCACTTTGTAGCCCAGGCTGGTCTTGAACTCACAGCGATCCTCCTGCCTCAGTAATCCCGAGTGCTGGGATTACAGGCATGCGCCACCACACCCAGCTTTCAAGTCTTTTATTTTTAATTCAATTTTTATACTTCGTTCTTTTGTTTAACTACAGTAAAACAGATTTTAAAAGCCTATTATTGTTCCCTTAATTAGTATTCCGATTGCCCTAGTAAACCGTCCTTATTTTAATTCTTTTAGTTTTATAACTACCCCCTCAGGAGTCCTTTTTTAAAATTTTTGCCCATATTCAAACTATTATTTTTTGGTAATTAAAATTTGCCACATACTATTTTGCTCATGTGGGTCTTTTCTCTGAGTGTTTTAACGTTAAAATTATGAAAAACTAAGACTAACTTCTGAGTCCTAATATACTGTTGCCTTCATTGTGCTTTACGAATCTCTGGGATTCTTTGTGCTATTTACTAAGAATTACAGATCATCCAAGTTGCACTGTCACCGGCAGTAAGTTTGTGAGGAGCAGACTCTATCCCACCAGGACTTCTTGCTATTTAGGAAAAGGAGGGCTGGGGATGCGGCTCAGCAGTAGAGCACTTGCCTACCATATCAAAGCCCTGGGTTTGCTTCCCAGCACTGCAAAAACCAAAACTAGTCAGACTGCTTATTATGCATTAAGAAATCCAAAAATTGGACATGGTTAGAACAAAAGGTCCTTCAAAGCAAAAATGATGTCTCTGTTTGTGAGACACAAACAAGATTTTATTCTATGTAGACGGAGAGGGGAGCTGAATATGCAAGTTATAAAGGCCAGAGCAGCAGACAGCTTCCAGTCGTAGTTCATTCTCTTCGCAGCCCCGAGGGCAAACAGCAATAGCGAAGGAGTGGGAGCTCCGCACTCAACCCCGGGAGAGGAAGGTGATGAGAGGACCCCGAGTCGGAGACAAGTGCTGGATATCTTCACCCCCACCCCTGCCCATTTTAAAAGAAGAAGCCTTTAAATGAATTTTGCCTTGATAAAGAACACTGTATATTCCACTGGAAGAAGTCTATGCTACCCTGTAGCTAATTCCAGAGCAAAAAAGCGTGTCCCGGGTGATGTGCAGCAGGGAGAAGGCAGCATGAGGTGTGGCTTGTAAAATACAAACCTCTCACACACATGCAATTATAAGTTGTTTACAAATCCGAACACTAAATGAAACCCACCTTCCTAACACAACAGACAAGTAACACTTTCTTCAAAGAGTGGTAGTATTTAGAGAAAGCCCTTTCTTTCATGGTAGGAAAACCATTGTAACAGAAACTTTGATGAGGGTAGAAAAAAGTGACCCCAAAGAAAAGTATGTCCATTGAGATACTATACAGTTTGGAAATTTTAATCTTACTCTGGATGCTACTCTCGAGTGGTCTCTGCGTTTGTTAAGAGAACTTGCTTATCAGGTTCCTAGAAGTAATATGTACATGCATCCTATATTTCATTTTAAATTGCACTTCAGGTTTAAGTACTTGATAAACTACTGTATCTAAGATTCAGATGAGTCACTTTTCCTGTTTCCTGTTATCTTTTACGAGACTTCAAAAAGGTCTTGATTTTTTCATTTACCTTTTTGTGCCACTCTACTTTCCATTGCTTTAATTCCTTACCGGCTCCTGTGCTATTCGTGTCCTTACTTCACAGCTAAACCTACCCCCGCACATCTGTGCGCTCACACTGGGCTCCAGTACTTGCAACTACATTAGTGCTGTACCAGCCAGCAAGCCTCTCGATTCCCTTGGCAACTTGTTCTTTTATGTAAATTGTATACAAAAATGATCTGCATACCTTAAAATCTGTGAACAAAAAGAGCAATGCTACTGCTGTTTGTAATCACAAAACTGTATTTTTAAATACAGGAATTAGTTAAAATCCTTTCATTATGAGAAGGGTGTTACGTTGCAAGTAATTCACATTAAAAGGCATTCTATTCAGTATATTTATTTATTGATGGGTCAGTTTTGCCAGTGTTTTAGTTCACATGTAATTGATGTAGACCCTATGTCAATAACAACTAACAATACTACTTTAGTTGAAAAATGATAAACTGTTTCCATTTATATGTTGTGATTATTTGATACTCCTCAAGTTTCATATCCTTTACAGAAATAAAGCATGATAAATTGCCATTTGCCACAACACACTTTCTCCAAATCTTAGTATAAGACACAACACATTTTTGTGCATTCTACTTTTATAGAACAACCAGATTTATAATTGATTTCTTTATTTTATTAGATTTATCAATATACATGGCAGCTTTCTCAAATCTCAAAGTACCAAAAGTATGTAATTTTAAAGGTGAAAAATCACTTTCCTTTAGATATTCCTAGAGAGCTATTAAAATCTATTTATAAACAAAAATAATTGATAAACTAACACACTTTAGAAATCAGAATCTTTTAAATTAAAATATTTTTAATGAATATGTCTTTTAATTAACTATCATAGTTAAATTTAATATCACAAAGCAAAATGGCTTAACCCCACCAACTTCACAAGTGAGGGAAAAGTCATTGGGATTTACACTTAATATAAGTTTTAAATGTGATTATTAAATGATAATATTTTATCAATTATAGGAAATGATCATTTATAGGAATTTCCTCAGGTCCATCCATCTTTTTAGGCCAAGTGTGAGCCCATGTCAACCTTAAAGGTTACATTCAGTGCACCTAACTTGCCTAATAAGCTTGTCCATTTAAGAATATGAGTTTCACTGATAATAAGGGAGAATTGAACAGTAGCTAACCTACCGTTCAAATGACAAAAGACAAAAAACCCTCAACCTGAATGGGGTAATTTCAAACAATAATTTTAAAAAAATTTTTTTAAACTTTAAAGAGGAATGGCCAATGATGCTGGCTTAAGATTTCACAGGATAACCTTGAAAAAACCAAAAACCAAAAACCAAAAAAAAAAAAAAAAAAAAAACCAAAAAACCCAAAAAAACCCACATAGAAATAGTGAAGTCATTACCTTATTGATAAAAAAACTAAAGTTTAATAGTCATTGAAGAGATAACAGCAACTTATTATCTACATTTAAAAGGAATTTTAAAGAAAACTAGAAACAAAGAATGCTATTAAGAAACATCAAAAATGATAAGCATTTCACACCTAAAGTGTAGATACTTAAGATTCTAAATTGAAAAAAATAAGGATAAAAGGGCCTTGAAATTTTTTCCAACAATTCATCTTATAAAACTGATTTCTAAATAGCTCATATTCTTTTTGCTTTGGTGTTTTGTTTGCTATCAGCTAGACACAAATACAGTAGAAAATCACTTAGGTTCTTTTCAAATGCTTGGCATTATAATGTGATCTCATATCTTTCCTCAAATTAAATTTTGCTCCACATATTCCACATGTGTACAGATGAACATCCATGTGCTGCTCCAGCTGTTCATTATTTGGGAATATCTGAAAGCAGACCTGGCATATCGTCTCACCAGCAGAGAGATGAGAAATCATATGCCGTACATGGTCATGTTTTCTGAAGTTTCCTTGATCACAAATGGAACAGACATACCTGGCCATGCCTTTGTGCATATCATTGTGCAGACGCAACTGACGTTCTCTTAAAAACTGCTTCCCACATGTCTGACAAACAAACTGTTTTTCCTTAGTATGAACAGTATAATGTTCCCTTAAGTGACACCGCTGATAAAATCCTTTTCCACAAAGATTACAAAAATGCTTTCGCCTATGATCTCTTTCATTCTCTTCCATAATGGCGGTCTTAAACACATCTTGATCGAGGCAGCTAGACATATGTTCGACCACTAGGTTTTCAGTCTCAAAACGCTGGCCACAATTAGGACACCGAAAAGGACAGGCAGAGTGTTTAAATAACTGCTTCTTTTGGATACTGTTTATCTGGTAATGACTGTCCCTAAAATCATCCAGCATTTCAACAAACATATCTCTTATTTCAGACTGTTCATCGGGGTTTTCTTCCATGTCCATCTTCTCCTCGGCATTTCCTAGCCCGTTCATGGTCAGATCCTGGGGCTCTCCGCATCTCTGGGCATGTTCCTGAAGCTGCCGGCCCTTGACGAGGATCTGCCCGCATTTCCCACACGCACAGATGTTCTCAATGTGCTTGGCGAGGTAGTGAGAGGACAGGTCCTCCTCGGTTATTGTGAGCCCGCACAGCTCACAGGAGGCACTGTCACCATCCTCCTGGACTGGACTGCTGTGGTTAGGGGGCCTCATGCTTTGTAAAGGGCCCCTTTCTTCAGAATTTATGGACATCCGAGGTTTTAGGGTTTTCCTGCCACTTTTTTTAATGCCAACGTTTTCTTCGACATAGTATCTATAAAATGGCTCTTCCGGTTCATCTTCTAATTCATCGTTGTCAGTGGACTCATTGCAGTCTTTATCAGTAACTTTAATAATGTTAAAGTCTTTCAGCTCATCTGTAGGAATATCTTCGGGCTCCATCTTAATGATGATTCTTTTCCTCTCAGCAGCCCTGCTTTTCTCTTCACCGGCTAGTTCAGACTCTGCCGTGCTTTTCCTGCTTCCCGTGGTTGAAGTGGAATCATCAGGACCCTGGCTCGTGTCGCCTCTGTATTTGTCTGCCTGCGCAGAAAATGTTTTAGAGGAATCCTTCTCACCAAATTCGGCTTTGATGGTACTGTCTTTTGTGTCTCTGATATCTACTATTCGATGGTATGATCTTGTGTTTTGGTATGAATGTCTGTTAGTACAGGTCAGTACGTGTTCATCCAATAATTTTTCACAGCTAAAGCCGAATCCACAGCTGTCACAAGTAAAACTCCGTCCGAAGCGTCGTGACACCCTTTCTTTCGGAGCAGATAATTTGGACACAGAACTCTTTTTGCATACATCGAACAGTGGCTCAGGAAAGTTACCTAACGGCAAAGACTCCTCATCCGGCTCTCTGTTATGAGGGGTATTCACTGTTGAACTCGGCTCTGCACACCACCTGTTGGCTTCACTGCCGTTTCTGGCCACAGTGTCTTCATACATTCTCACCCCAAATATCATTTTGGTGTTCTGTTTGCTGGAAGCAGAAGATGAACATTTTGAACTAGAACAATCTGCATCTTGTATGTCTTCTAAGCAGTCGGGAACATTGTACAGCTGTAGGTAGTTCATTGCCACTTTAAACTGCTCAAAACTGGAGGGAGCGGTCATGATTTTTCCTAAATACATAAATTGCAAAATGAGATCAAAACACTCAGCACTGATTTTCATGTTGCTGAGATTCAGTTGTGCAGTACTGTGCTGATGGTTCATGAAAAACATCCTAAAGTAGGAGCTGCAGGCAGCTAGAACTGCTTTGTGTGCTTGGAAGTAAATGTCATCAATTGCAATGCAACAGTCACAGAGAAAGCCCCATTCTCTTTGGTTGTTTAGCTGCTGGAGGACATAGCTGCTGTGGCTGGGCTTTGCCATCTTCTAGCGGAGACCTAAGGGACACAAAGTATCAAAGTCAGACAGACACGAGAAAAGCACTTGAGAGACAAGTTGTTACCCTGATTTTTTTTTTTTTTCTTTTTTGGTTTTTCTCCGGTACCGGGAACCAAACTCACAACCTTGTGCTTGCCAGGCAGGCGCTTTTGCCGCTGAGCTAAATCCCCAGCCCCCAGTTACTCTGATTTTTGACTTGTTGCTATTACAGTCAAGGTATCAACAGCTTTCCACTCTAATATACTAAAACTCAGTCATATATACCTGAATCTTTTTTTTTCTCAATCATTTTTTTAAAACTTGAAGATACTCAAGCCATTTATTCAGATTTCTCATACTGAATAAAGCATCACAAGCAAAAACTTTTAACTGTGGTTTTATTACGACTCTAAGGGGGAAAATGCATACTTAATTTGAAAGGAAAACAATAATTTAAAAATATTTAAAGGATACAAAGAATGAAATAAAATAGCAACTTTTAAAGTTAGTAACTAGGCTGGAGAATAGTAAAAAACTTTTTAGCTGTTTAATGTTAAGGAATTACAGACAGGTATGGTGATGCACGCCTGTAATCCTAGCACTCGGAAGGCTGAGGCAAGAGGATTGTTGCGAGTTCAAGACCAGCCTGGGTTACAAAGTGAGCTCAAGGCCAGCCTGAACTGCACAGCAAGATCCTGTCTCAAAAAGACAAAACAAAACAAAACAAAACAAAAAAAACTATTGCTCATTTCTCAATAAGCTCACTTCTAAAGGGTTTTTGATTGAGTCCTTTTTATATATTTAATGAAATATTTATAGATGGAATTATATATTTGATACATTCTTCAAAATAGGTGAGGTGGATATTAGTGCTACAGACGATACAAGATTGACTGTTTATAACTACTGAAGATAAGTAGAATACTGTTTTTATATGTGTTTGAAACTTTACATAGAAAAATTTCCATTAAGAAACCTTATTAAATTATATAGACGTTGCACCAACGAAGAGGTTTGGTCAATACTTTCCCCGTTTCTTGACTTAATGGAAAAATAGTAATTCTGTAGAATCAGACTAAATCTTCATTGCTCACCATGCGTTTTATGGTAGAAAGAAGCAGTCAGTTTACTTAGGAATGAGGTATCTACCTTTAGTTTATAAATTTTTCTTTTCTTTTTAAAAATTGTTAGGGGCTGGGGATTTAGCTCAGCGGCACAGTGCCTGCCTGGCAAGTGCAAGGTTGTGAGTTTGATTCCTGGTACCGGAAAAAAATAAAAAATACAAAAAATTAAAAATAAATTTAAAACAAATTGTTAAAATATGCAAAAGTAACACATGCTTACCGCAAAAACACATACAAGTAGTATACAAACTAAGAACGCCTCCAGTCACGTACTTCTTCCCAGAAGCAACCCCTCCAAATATTCTGGATTATATACTTTCAGATGTTTGCATACATACAAACATAGTCATACTGAATACTTGCTATGTGCCAGGAACATAGTTAGTTGTGCTTTTTAACCTAATTGGTATACTACATATACCATTCTGCAACTAGCTTTCTAAATTTAACACGGGTGGACATTGTATCTGTAGTGTAGGGAATCACCTTTAGATAAAGGGAGGGAAATACTTAAATCACTAGAAGTCCGCCTGGTGCACTGGTACACGCCTGTAATCCTAGCACTCTTGTTGGAGGCTGAGGGTAAGGATCACAGATTTAAGACCAGACTGGACAATTTACTGACTTCATAAAAAACTGTCTCAAAATTTTAGAGAACTTAGTTTGTGCAAAGGCCCTGGGTTTAATCCCCAAAACTGCAAAAAATAAAAAGAAAAATATAAAATACTTCAAAAATCTTATCTATTACATTACAAATAAAAACTAAGACCCAATTTTAGCCTCAAAATTTTAATCCATATCCATAAAGCTTCAGAATCTATCTTCTACTGAAAAGCAAGTTCCTGTACACACAATATTACTGAACCTAATGACACCTGCTGCCTTCTTAAAATAGCAACGACTGTGCCTCCTGGAAGCCAAATCAAATGTTTCAAGTAGGTAAAATATTTCCAACATTTTACAATTGTGTATCTCTACCAAACTGTGTGCCAAAATACAAAAGCAGTACATGCAGAAAGATATTCACTGATGTGTTACTTTTAATTTGAGTGCCTGGTAATAAAGAGACTTTTATAGTGAGCTAGGGTAAGCCCACTCTCCAGCATTCACTCTTTCAAAATTCACTGGTTGTTAAAAGTTATATTTTGAGTAGGTGTGGTGGTGTACACCTATAACCCCAGCACTTGGGAGGCTGAGGCAGGAGGATCACTGTAATTTTGAGGCCATCGTGGGTTACAAACTGAGTTCAAGGCCAGCCTGAACTGCACAGTGAAACAAAGACCAACAATAAATAAATTTTAAAAATTGTATTTATAAATAAGGACAACAGGAGAAAGTGGGAAATCTCAGGATGTAGAATCAAACAAAAGGAGATACAAAGTTATGTTATAATTAGAATTATGTTACAATTAGAAATCCACACAATTACACTACCTTATTCAGAAGGTAAATAAAATATTACACAAAAATGGAGACTCAGGCCTAGTTTTCGCAGAGTGGGACTTCTGGGCCTATAATCATTTTTGTCTGTGTTACTGGCTGCAGCACTGGAGAACAGGTTTATTACAGCTGGAAGACAAGGGATGGGGTGACGGGTGGAGCCTTCCAGTGTGATTCAAAGACAACACACCCGTTACACTGAGACAGTTTCTCTGCAGCTACAAGGACAGCCAGGGTGCAGTACTACCACAAGAATAAGGAGTTAGCTGATCCAAAAGTTTTACACTGAATTTAAAAACCTTTAGTTTCAAAAAGCTTATCAGCTCATCTCATATTCAAAAACAGCCACTGTACACATTAAGCATATTAATGTAGACAGTCATAGATCTGTAATGCTTAGAGGAATATTTCAGAGCAGAAAGCAACCACCTAGGGCCCTCAACCATGTGTCAGAACACAGCCGTGTTAAAGTAGGTACTAGAACTACACAGTGAGGCCTCCTGCCTACCTAGACAGCACTAACCACGTCCCTGGTGCTGTGCAGTGCGGCCTTCTGCCGAGAACACTCACGAGGACTGCACAGGGGTCCTTAGTAGGGAGCTTACTGACCAGGTGCTGCTGCTCAAGTGACTGCCCTTATCTGAACACCACGCGTAATGTGGTTTTCTCTCTACACATCCATTTATTCTTACTCAACAGATGTGCCCCCTAGGTTGTTCTGTGTAAACTGTTTCAGCACACTGCTCACTGACACAGTAAGATTTCAGAAACACTTTTCCCCCATGGCACCTCTCTTAAATTGGAAATAACAGAACACTGGAAGAGATAACAGAACACTGGAGAAGAAACTGGAAGTTTCTTTTGCTCCAGCCTTGGTCAAATGCCAGTGTAAGAGTCTATATTACCTCTGACACTCAGAAGAGGATTTAAGTACAAGTTGAGCATCTCTAATCTTGGACTCTTTTTTTTTTTTTTCTTTTTTCGGCCTTTTGAGACAGTGTTTCGCTATGCAGATCAGGCTGGCCTTGAGCTCACTATGTAGCCCAGGCTGGTCTCCAACTTGCAACCATTCTCCTGCCTCAGCCTCCTGAGTGCTGGGATTACAGGCATGGGCCACCATGCCCCGCTGAGCATCTCTAATCTGAAAATTCAAAATCCAAACTTCTAACACTTTTTGGGTGCCAACATGCCAAAAAAAACCATAAAAACATTCCAAAATCCAGGAAAACTGTCCAAAATTTGAAACACTTCAAGTCCCAAGCATTTTGGATAAAGGATGCACAACTTCTAAATATACTCATTTCCTTTTCTTTCTTTTGTCTTATGTGACCAAATGTATGGATTTAACTGGAGGACTATAGGTTTTCTTTTTTAAGAACTAGAAATGTAAAGAAAGGATTATCGCGCGCACGTGTGTGTGTGTGTGTGTGTGTGTGTGTGTGTGTGTGTGTGTTTTGTTTGTTGTGTTTTTGAGACAGGGTCTTGCTATGCAGTTCAGGCTGGCCTTGAGCTCACTTTGTAGCCCAGGCCGGCCTTGAACTCGCAAAAATCCTCTTGCCTCAGCGTTCGGACTGCTGGGATTACAGGTCTGTGCCACCACGCCCGGCATATCTCATGTGTTAAAATGAGAGTGTTGGATGTTCCTAACACTGGGTAAAGCACTGAGGTGCAGAAAGATGATGTACAGTAGAGCCGACTATATATGAGGGATTAAATTTGAAACCAAAAAGCGACCAAAGAACAATTAAGTGCTAAATTACACTGAATAAAGTACCCCAAGAAGTTAGAAAAAAAAAAAAAGCATGAATTATACCAGAACAGTAAGCTCTAGGAGGGATGCAGTTGAGTGGAGCCTTGAATGAATAGGACAGGAAAAAACAGAAAGCAAGGGGATAGACATGTCAGGTATCGTACACAGGTATGTATGTAAATACTTGTGAAGCACTATACAACAGTTTGGCTGGAAATGTAATGAAAGGGAATGTAGATTTGCTTTAATAAACTGTTGATGAAGGTTCTGAAGGGAGGGTAAATGACAACCATTACACAATATTAATGTGAACAACTAACATTTGTTAAGCCTTACTATAATATTAGGCTCTATTCTAGACAGATGTATAAGTTATCCAGCCTTGGATATTCTATTATAGCAATGAAAAGCTGACAAAGACAGTGGCATACAGTAATACATATATGCCCTAAAGAGAGGACTTTCTGGGATCAAGCATAGCAGTATGACTCTCCAATCTAAGATCAAGGTCTTGAGGATTTTGTCACCTGTAAAAATAACATAGCAGGACCTGGAGATGTAAGTCACTGGTAGAGCACTTGCCTAGCATGCAAAAGGCCCTAGGTTCAATTCCTGGTGACTCAAAAACATAAACAAAACAAATGCAGATCAGTAACATTTCTTTCCTCGAATGTCATTTTCTAGGATATACAGTTCAAACACTAAA